TCACACCTGTGTCATTCATTCTTTGTTGTGTGCAGTGGCTGTTCACTGTAACCCTCCCTCCCCGTACACTCACGTATGCTCACGCACGTACACTTGTATATGCTCGTGAATATTCATGCACACACACACCTGACCACTGTAGTGGGTGGTCTGTCCTGCTGTGGCTGTGCATTTGAGGACAGAGTCCAGTGGAAATGCCTAAGTGAAACCCTTGGGATTGCCAAACTCCAAACCACTAACACTGCCCCCCCCCGGGCATAACTGGACACACCCCCCTCCACGAGCCTGCTGGACTGCAGGGCTGAACATGCTTGGCTTCCGAAGACTCTGAGCACATTCACGAAGATGTAAACAGCTACGTTCTCATCAGGTACAAGCTAAGTTACTGAGGTTCCCTATCTTTGATGATACTATTGTCCATTTTTAAAAAATTCTGTCATATCATATTATGGATTTATGCCTAATTCACATTTAATGTAATCTTTATTGGCCATGTGGAGGTCTTCTACTGTGGAGCGTTGGCCCAATTTTTGGACAATAACTGGGTGTCCTTTTTCTTGTTTGAGTTAGACACAAGCAGCCCCGGTGTGTCAGTGCACTAACTGTTGGCTGGCTAATTGCATAGCTGGACCTTGGAATACACTGGGCCGCTCTTGGTCTCCTCTCCTGAAGCCGTGCTGGCCTGGGAACCAGGGGGAGTGTCACCAGGAGCTTGAACCAACACCGTGGCAATGGGCGAGGTGCACGCAGTGAACCCGAGTTCTCCCTCCTGCTTCATGCCTGCCTTTGGACTCCACCGTGCAAGTGAAATGAAGTTCTCCATTTTGAAGAAGTCAAATCTATCACAATTTTCCTTTATATTTAATGTTTTTTTGTCTAGTTTTTAAGAAGCCTTGCCTTGACTTACCTTAAAGTCACGAGATTATTTTTGGATTATCTTCCAGCTTTAGGTTCTTACCTTCTACCCAGAGTACTGAGATTCACGTTTGAGTTACACATTCTATCTTTTCCTTTTCTATCTTTGGACAAAAAGAGAATGTCATATCCTATGTTAAAAAGACAAACTGATAGCAGACATCTTGCTTTAATTTTGGAGTGTTTCTATCCTGGAAACCAGTGACTTTAATGAATTCCCTAAATAAAATTAATCTGCCCCAACTACTTCTTTTTTTTTAAACTTGTTATTGTTGGACTGAGTGAAGGTTTACTCAACTCCATTTTCCATTAGACAATTCATAGATATTTTTGGTGAATGTTTAAAGAGCAAATTGGTTTTCAACACAATTTAGATACATTTTGGTTCACGACCCTGATGGCCCATTTCTACAATGTAGCGTCACCCTGCCTCATCCCCCTGTATTTCCAATATGCCATCTTCCTTTCCTGCCTTCTGAACTTTGGGCATTCTGATTTAGAATGGTCACTTGTCCTAAGAAGGGTACCCCCTCCAGCCCCCCAGTAGATGACTGAGCCCTGGGGGTCAGTTCTCTCTCTGGACTGATGGGTGACTAGGGGCCAAAGCCCTGGGGGCTCCAGCTGCTTCTGGCCAATCGGAAAGCCTGACCTTCTTTATGATTTTGTGGCACTATTTTCCCCAGGTCTATCTAGAATCTTCTAATGTAAACCATTTTGGAGTGACTGGCAGTGGGGACCACATAGTTCTTCTGGTCTCAAAGTCATGCAGGCTGAGGCCGTGTTGAACGGGCTGTCTCCACGCAGCTTGGATTGCTTCACTCTTCTTTGCTCCAGATGGGAGACAGGCAAAGACCACAGGGGCCGTGTAGGGACTGGTCACTAGTGTAAAGAGTCCCGTGTCACTCCGCCCAAGGAGGAAACGGCCACTTTTCTGGTGGACTGTACTGTGTCAACAGGGAAACCGGTTCTGAAGAGCTTTTCTTTCACCCAAAGCTACAAATTCTTTCTTCCTTTTCTTTGTGGTTTCTACTTTCAAAATATATGGTCGGGTGGAGGACCGGAAACCACCCAGTCAGCTGAGATGGGAAAGCTGGGTTCCTTCAGTCCTATTAAGATTACTCAGTGGTTGATAGTATTTCTGCCAGCTCCTCTCTTCATAAGCATTATTGCATCTACCTTCTTCTGGATACACGAGATCTAGATACACTGTATGTGCTTCTTCCGGAATAAAATTGTCTCCCTACATGCATGTTAAACTTCAGTGAGTTTTTATTATTTTAACTAACACCTGCTACTCAGCAATATTTTCTCTGGAAACCTCTAACCCTACTAAAAAGTAAGTGTATGTTCGTGAATGTACAAGGAAATTCTTTTGTTTTATGAAGTAAGAAACTAGATTACACCCTAAACTCTAAGAACTTTGATAAATGTTGATCGTTGTAGAGGGGTTTCAAGCCTTTTGTTCATAGGGTCACTAGGAGTCATGCTCGACTCGAAGGCAATCAACAACAACAAAAATCCATTAATATAAGAATGGTAAAAACGCAAGGAAACAACACAGCAAGCTGTAGCCTTTCCACATAACACCACAAAGTCATGTGGCAACAACAGCAACCAAAAAAGTTTAAAAACATTAGCAAAATAACATGTAGAGTGTCCTACGGTTTTTCTATTTTTCTCTCTTAATCACACAGTATCTAATTAGTCTATTCTTTTAAAATACGAGTATATATTTGTATAACTAGAATAAGACACGCAGGATTCACTCTTTCATGAACATGCCCCGGGCCGGGTAGCTGGAGAGGACACCTCAGCACTGTCTGTACTGCTCACATTTGAGATGAAAGGAATTTTACCATGAAGATAGGACCTTGCCCCCGCCCCCCGCCTCCAGCACTCATCAAACACAGGGAGTGTCCCTGACTCACAGACCTGATCAGAATGTTCTCCTCTGGAAAGATGCTGCGTTACAAGGCCCAGAAGCCACAGCGAAGGCAGGAAGCCAAACTGTCCCTGTCACGCTTCCCGCTCGCATGCTGCCCCCCACCATCAGCTCTTCCCTCATGCAGCACCCCCAGCCCCCGAGCCCAGGCTCACCCCCGGGTTGAGGAACAGGTTTATGTGCTTATGCAGCAGAGCCTGGTTCTGCTGGTTGCCGGCGCAGAAGTTCTGCAGGAACTCATGGGCCAGCCTCATTATCTCCTGCATCTTGGTGTCTTCCGCCTGCGTGGGAGGAGGAGAGGAGGACGGAATTACACCAGGGCTGTGTGGTGGACGCAGGAACACAATGACCTGGGCCAGGACTAGGGCTGCGTGACGCCCCACCTCCACCCACCAGCAGTGGGACCCTGGAGGACTTTGCCAAGGGCCTGGGACACTCAATCGTGAAGCTGCTTGTTGATGGCTCAGAAAAGGGCCAGGTAACTTGTTCATGCTTCGCTGAAAATAAATCTTCTCTTTGGAAGAAACGAAAATGTGTCATTCAAGAAAAAGGCAGTACTGAAGGACAGGGTCCTCTGAGCACCAAGCTCCTGGAAGGGCGGCAGGAAACTCAGAAACACTCATAACCCAGCCACCGTGTGGCATCGTGCACGTGAGGAAGATGACAGCGGCCAGCAACTGTTACGTATACACTCACCCCATAAACAAGAGGCCATGCAGAGCCTGCCACCAAAGATCAGCACCAAGGGGGCTGTCCACCTCAGCAGGGAGGCTCCAGCAGGAAGGGAGTAACTGTCACTGGTGTAAATACCGTCAAGACAATTCCGCCTGACAGAGGGCCTGTGTGGGCAAGCAGCAGCACCCCGGGGTCTGCTAGTCTCCAGGCCCTACAGACCTAGAATCTTTCTTACATGGAGCAGTGGGTGGATTGGAACCACCGACATTTAGGTTGGCAGCTCATCATGTATGCACTATCTCCACAGCTCCCTCAAGAGCTAACTGTGTATAGGACTTTTAAAGGGCTGAGTTGTTTGCTCCCTAGCTCACTCTTTCCCTCCTC